TGACCCGACCTTTCCGACAGCTTCCCGACGTTGAATGTCGCGGCCACAGCGCGGAGGGCGGTGGGCCCCGTTGCGCCACTTGTAGTGCAAATTTGGTGACAAACCAAAGCATTCCCTGGGTAATGAGGCCACACCTTATTGCACAGATATGTTCTAATTTTTGGAGTTTGATAGAATTAGTCAAAATTCACTTTTCAGTAAGTAACATACAAGTACGCACCGAGTTTTATCAGACGGACAGCATGCAGCACAGAAATACTTCGTTGCGCGGCGGTCACCTACATGACGCTTGCGGTTCGAACAAACTTTACACTGGCGTTGGCGACGCTTCTGAGTGCCATTGACGATTTGATAGTCAGGGCTTTCTCGTGGCTCATGATTTTTTTTTTACCAACTGGCTGAAACACGCGTGGATCATCGTTTTCATCGTTGTCACCATCAGTAGATCCTGAACCCTGCATACAACATGATCTAATTAGTATTTGTACAACATGTCATAGCGACAGCATGTCTGGACATACAACAAATCGTCAATACAGCATAAACTCACCTCCTCCTCAAAGTCACGTTCTTCTAGTTCCTTCATCTGAGCATGAAGATCAAGCAGAAATTGCGCATGTGTCGTGCGTTTCCCGGATCGTGAGCTCTGAGCCTCTCTAAACGCGATGTACGCGTTGACAATGGCGACATCAACCAATCCCAGAAATATGGATTTATAATATTTCTTGCATCAGGTTTGCATTTGTAGCGAATATCGCTGGAGTCGAAGCTGGTCATGGATGTCTACCCCATCCATCCAACATTGGTAATCTCGAACCATGGATGGGCAGAGTATAGATTTCCGTTGACTCCCACCGCCACGCACTCGACGCTCTACTACAAACCAAAATATGTCAGTCATTCAATATACCATTCGTTGTAGCATATACGTACCGCATGTTTCCATCTCTCTACTCCCCCCCCCCCCCCACTACACAGCCACTGTACAGGTTTCCTGTCCCACCAAACCAGACCCGTCATGATGACGTCATCAGTGGACACTGCTTTGCTACCGCCATACGAGTAGTGCCGTGAGCTATGCTTTTGGGACGGTCTCGGCTTTCTTCTGCTATTTCTCGTGGATAACCAACCCGCTTGGGCTGTATTGGTCCGATACTATATACATTCCGGTGCAGAAGTTGCAAAACCAGCTGGACAGACGTGTAGAATTCGATCCGTTACCACGACGTGGTAGACGTTGGCCTCAACTGCAGGTAGTACAGCTTCTAGGTTTCGAATAACTGCTGCTGGTCCAGAGTTTGGATCGACCGAACGAACCGATTCTGGCACATTTCCCAGTTCTGCATTGTGTTGTGCCTTTCCGCAATATACCTCAAGTCTTCATGCACACAGATACAACATGATCATTAGCAAACATCACGTTAGATACAACATCTTCAAAATAGAGAGTAAACTCACCGCAGACAATACGACGTCTCCACACAACAAGTCAAAAAGAGTTTTGTACCCCATTTGTGAGGTTTTGCCGAGATGTACTGGCGAGTGGGGTTGTTGCGGTTTCACGACGGCAGCATTGCTTCGTCGAACGAAAGTACTGGAGGAGGTTTGTATCCACGCAAAAATGTTTTCTGCATAACATCTACCACAGATCTGACTTTCCAAGCTCTGTCAGTAGCAGCCCGAACATCCGAGTTGTCAGTGAAATGGAGATTTGCCATGATATGGCTGAAGCGGTTCCGCGACATGAAGGCGCCAAATGTACCACGAGCGAGCGCTCCATTCAAAGATGTGGCCCAGTGGTCTCGAAAATGCCGTCTATGTGGATTCAACATCCGAGCTAGGATAAGGCCTAACACATGCAGAATTTCGTGAGCCTTGATATCTGGTTTTCTTGATTCCTGGTTCAGAATCTCTTCTTTTGATCGTT